TGAACGATAACTCAAAATTGGCCGATACTAAATAATATCTGTTCCGATTCATACAACGCTGGTATTTCTGCTTGCAATGGTGATTCCGGTGGTCCTTTGGTTATCGAAACAGAAGGTGCTCCCGCTGAGTTAGTAGGTGTTGTATCATGGGGCGTCATTCCTTGTGGTCTTGCAAACAAACCTTCAGTATACACACGTGTTTCAGCTTATATCGATTGGATTGCTAAAGTTATGAATGCTTATTACGTTCTTCATTAATGTAATACATATTTGTCCATCTCTCAAATTATAAATTTAATAAAAAAAAACAACAATATCTAAACAATCAAAGTTCTAGTTTCTTGTGCTAAATTTTCCCTCGAAATAAAGCTAATCGCACGCGTTCTATTGTACCCACCACTCTACGATGTTAGATAATATGCGGTGGTAAACTGCTTACTAATAGCAATGACGATAATCGATTGTAAATTATTATTTATTATATGCGCCATTGATCGTAATCGATGATTTCTTTAAGATTTTTTCATTCAACATTTCGTTCAATATAAATAGAGCGGATAATTTTAAAATTAATTAGTAAGTGTTTGTTAATTTACACAACATGAAGGTTTTAGTAGTTCTCGCTGTTTTGGTGGCTTGCGCCCAAGCTGGTACCGTTTCGAATATCGCTCAGAAGCTTATTCCTAGCTTCTCGACCGGCTTTGTCATCAAAGGCCATGACGCTGTTCCTCATTCAGCTCCTTACATTGTATCATTGAGCAGAACTACCAACCATTCCCACATTTGTGGTGGTACCATCATTGCCAAGGATTGGGTATTGACTGCTGCTCATTGCATCAGTAATCCCGTTGGTATGGGTGTTGTTGCCGGCTTACACGAACGCTTGAATATTGACAACAAGACCCAATCTCGCGAAGTCGATTGGGGAAAGGTCCACGAAAAGTATACCGGTGGTGTTGGTCCCTACGATATTGCCATTTTGCATCTTTCAGAACCTTTGGAATACAACCAATACGTTCAACCTGCCTCCTTGCCCGCTGTTGAAGAAATCCATTCTGGTGAAACTCATTTGTACGGTTGGGGTCAACCTAAAGCCTTCGTTTTAACTGGTTCCAAGATTTTGCAAACTGTCGAATCCGAAATTGTTGAATTCAATGCCTGCAAGGCTGCTTTGCCTGAAGATGCTCCCATTCATGAGACCAACATTTGCTCCGACTCTATGCAAAAAGGTATTTCTGCTTGCAACGGTGACTCTGGTGGCCCCTTGGTGATTGAACGTGAAGGTGCTCCCTCTGAGTTGATTGGTATTGTTTCCTGGGGTTACATTCCCTGCGGTTTGGCTAACTTGCCTTCTATCTACACCCGCGTTTCCGCCTACATTGAATGGGTTGCCAAGATCCAAAACGCTTACTACGTTTTGCACTAAATTGTATTTAATCCGGTATTAAATTTTAATTATATAATAAAAAAAATTAACTCAAAAAGGTTACACCCATAAAAATATATCTTTTATTAAAACCTGCGAAACATCATTTTTAAAAAAGTGAAATAATATATAAATAATGTTTTTGAAAGGGTTCCCACTCAGTTTCCTACCAATTAAATTGTTTTAAAAATTTTTGGGTTTAAAGTTTTATCATCAAGATTTTGTTGCATTAAAGCAATAGAATATTGGAAAAGGAAAGTTAGAATTATAAATTATGATAATGACAATGAAAACATAAGATGAATTTGCAAAATTTTATAAACGGTAGCATTGATAAAAATGTAGTATGTTTGCAATACAAAGTTCATTCATATGAAGGTTATTTATACTAACATTGCACAGTGGAGCAGAATGGACATTTTTTGGAAATTAATCTGGCATTTCTAAACAGCTAGTCTGATCGGAATAAAATTTTAGACGGACGTAGCCAAGGAGTATTCGAGTTCAAGTTATGAAAATGGATCACACAAATACTCCAGTAGCGGCGCTATGGGGGCTCAAAGTAGGTTACCTGAGACAAGTTAAATTTTTAAACGCGTACCATTTTTTGCTTTCCCATCTGCTATGATCCAAAAATAAAATAAAAATGGTAGATTTACGCCATTTTTTTGGAGCAAAAAGTGCTTACACTCTTTTCTTGTTAAAAACAAACTTTCTTTAAAAACATAACAATTTTATGTTTTTCTGAAAGGTATCTTTATGGAAAATACCTTGGTATAAAAAATATGTCCTATTTTTTAAATATCTCGCTCCTACGTCCTTCCGAATTTGACCTATTTTTATAAAAATTTCAAGTTTGGGCCACATGTTCTAAAATCCCATAGATGGGATCAGAAAACTGAAAGCTGTTTTGGAAGCCTTGATATGATTCCTATTTATCCCCAAAGTATTATCTGAGCCTAGAGAGAAATGTGGATACTATGGGTAAAATTTAAAAAAATACAATTTTTGGGCTTTATTATTTAGAAAGACAAATTTAAAAAACGTTGAAAATTTCATTAAGCTTTGTTAATAAATAAAGATTTTATTACACATATTATGTTTCTTGAGTTTCTAAAACTAAAGTTTGTATAAAAAATTTATTAATTTTGTAAATATTAGGTACAATTTGATCCAAATGTAACCATGGTAATTATTTTTGTTTAGCAAAGTTAATTTTTGATCTTCTAAAAAAAATTTCAATTCAAATCTCAATTAGATTCAAAAATATAAACGGTGCATTTAAACAGCACCGTTTTCCATGTTTAAATATGTTTTATATAGGAACCGTACTCGACTTAAAATCGGATGAGAATCAGCTATATGTCGGATTTATAAGTGCTTAAAGGTACGAAAATCCGGTTTATTGCCCGTATATCAAGATTTTGGAGGTGTTTGGCTAAATTCAAAAATATATTCTTATTGTGCTCGATAATTCCTATCAGAGATGGGAAGTGCCCAAGTATTTAAATTTTTGGGCAACTAAATTTGCCCAAAAAATCACAAATCTGCAGTATTAATTATCATCGATGTAAATTTTCGAGTTATTGTTCCCTTTAAACTATTTGCTAGTTTTTTATTGCTGAGGCCAGTATCCCTAAAATACGTAGCAATTTCTTGGTTCCTCTGTAACTGTTTGATGATTAATCTATGTCCATATGTTCGTGTTAATATTCCGCATTTAATACTTTAGATCATATTATTAAACCTATATACCCATGAATAGTTTCCACTCTATTTTATGTATATTCCTTATTATTATTTTAGTCTCGCCCTAATGTATACTTTGAATTATTTGAAACATTATTTTTATAAACAGTTTTAACCGTAATGGTTTTCAATTTGACTAATATACACGTAATAATAAAATTCGATTATATTAACGCACAGTTTAAAAAATAGGAAATAGCAAAAGATTATAGTTTGGATTTTCATATGGGCAATTTCGTATCAAGTGACCCAACTAAAAAATCGATTTGGATGAAGATTTTTTGGAAACATGGCAGAAATATATATCTTAACTCCTTTGGACAATTTTTGCTAGGACCAATAGATTAAAAGTTACACTCATTTGAAAAAACCCTGTATGACCAAAATGTTGAACTATCCAATAGTACTATCTTTGGTGCAAATTACATCCAAATCGATTTTTTTGAGTTGGGTCACTTGACAAGAAATCGCTTATATGTATTAAATCTCTTTAGTGAATTACATTGAATATAATCGCTTTTGATACCTTAACGAAAATTAATTTAATTTTTTTTTTAAATCTCGTCTGCAATGCTTTTTTTCATCCGAAATCCTTTTTAACATTTGACTTAAACGAATTTTAATAAAGCTTAACTAATTGTATTTATATTCACGTAATTTAAACATGTTATTAACAGTGTTATTAAAGTTCTATGCTAAATAAATGCATACAATTTTACAATGAGTTAATGCCGATAAACCTATGATAATTAATATATTTCTCTATAACACAACAGAGAATTATGTATGGTTTCCCATGACCGATTAATTAATACATATAACTACTTGTAACCACTCAAAATTTAAAGACACCGACAATTTGTAGTGTTTTAGAAATTTAACTGAGTGCGATTATCACAATCAAATTCGAGTGACTCTCAAACTGTACCTAATATTTTGCCAATCATAAATCAATTTGATAAAGAATTATTTTAAAATTATTTATCAGTGGCAAATGAAAATAAAAAATAGAATAAAAATCTGATCAATTTGAAAAAATGATAAAGACCACTAATACAAATAAAGTCATAAAATAACGAAGAATTCAGCAATAAACAAAATAGCCATTCTAAACATTTTGAGGTAGTCAGCCATGTGTAATATTAATAATGTATGTATATATTGAATATGTAACAAATTATTAAGTTATAAATTAAGTAGATTTTTCAATGCAATAGCAAAAGCAAAATAAACTACAAACCCAAAATAAATAATTTTATCGGTTAAGGTATTGACGTTACTTAGGTGTAGGAGTGGATGGAAAATAAGCGCATTTTTTAAATTTTTCCTTATTGGCATAACAAAAAATATTAAGGAGTTTCATATAAACGTTCAAAAGCCTCGCAAACTGTGAAATCTGTGCATTTTCGATTTTACATTGAATTTGTCACAAATTGTATGGAATTTTACTTCCACAACACTGGTGCATTTGATCGCCTATTTGAACTTCAGATAACCACTTGTGCAAAAGTACAAGTTTGCACTCGTGTTTCATGAATGCCCTTATTATTTCTGGTAACTTAATATTAAACGATGATTTACAGTTGTATGTTATAAATACATCTACCACATTAAAAAAAATATAAACAAAATAAATGAAAAAGTGGCAAAAAAATAAACAAACAGCACCTAATCTAATAATATTTATGTTTATGGATGGACACACTTCACAAAAAATTATATATGTATTGCAATATTCCAATGATATCGAGATAAAATGAAACGAAACTGTGTCGAGTGGTTAAAACCGACGACATGAGAATTTAAAGAATTTTATATAAAAAGAGTGGCAACAAAATAAAAAATCATAATAATACAACAATTCCAAACAAAATGAAGTTATTAATTGTACTAGCTTTGGTGGTGGCCACAGTTAGCGCAGCTAGCTTGGATTCGATTGTCAAACCCGGATTTCCAGAGGGCCGTATTATTAATGGTCATGAAGCTGCCAAAGGAGAGGCTCCTTTTATTGTCTCTTTAAAAGCCGGTTCACATTTTTGCGGAGGCAGCATTATAGATGAACATTGGGTCGTGACTGCTGGTCATTGCTTGATCTATAGTAGCTTTGAGGTTGTTGCCGGTCTCCATCAACGTAACGATGAGTCTGATGTCCAAATTCGTAAAGTCCCCAGCAAATCCTTCCAAATTGCTCATGAAAAGTATGGCGGAAATGTTGGACCCTATGATATTGGCCTTATCTATATTGCTGAACCTTTTGACTTAAAAACATTGGCTCGTGATGGCTCTGCTACCGTTGCAAAGATTAACTTGCCTTCTGGTAAATATTCCCAAACAGGAAAGGGCAAATTGTATGGTTGGGGACGTGACAACTCTGGTGCATTACCCAACACTTTGCAAACTTTGGATGCTGATATCATTGGTTACACGCAATGTAAAGCTGCATTGCCCAGCTCTGCTCCAATCGATCCTGTTAACATTTGCTCGTACACTGCTGGCACTACCGATGGTGCTTGCAATGGTGACTCTGGTGGCCCATTGGTACGTTACACACCTGATGGTGCCGAAATTGTAGGTATCGTGTCCTGGGGTTACACTCCTTGTGCATCTACCAAATATCCATCTGTATACACCATGACCTCGGCCTTTAACGATTGGATTCAAAAGACTATTGATAATTTCAATGTTGTTGATATGCCCTATTAAGAGCTAACAATGATACTTAAATAAATTTGACGACGAAAGTTATAAAGTAAAAATGTTTGTTTTCTTTATGTTTTTGTATAAGTAGTTAACACTTGACAAAAAATTAGTTGTGGTCGAACTGATACCTATATATAAATATATATATATTATATATGTTATTTAGAACTGAAATTAAAGATAAAAACCCTATAGAATAGTACGCTTTCAGAAATTTTAACTAAAACATATAGTTTTATTTTTTATTAGTTTTTCTACCCTGCCATAGGGAGAATTGAAAAAGCGATGGAAAATATAGAAAATTCAGTTGGGAAAGGTTGTATTCAAAAAGTATATTTCATCTATATTTTGTCTTTGCCGCTATTTTCGACGTTTGAATGGACCGTAAATAGTTTTCATAGTCTATTTGTTGGATCGACAAAATATTATTAGAAATTAAAACTTTCAAAAAGTTATAAAGTTCAAAATTTCTACATAAAAAGTATAAATTTGTAACTGCCTATGACCAATAGTCTAGATTATTGAATAATGATAAATAAATATCAAACAAATATCTTTGATTTTTTGATTGCAAAAAAAAAATACCAAAAATTGTTTAAAACGTTTAAATTATTTTTTTCCAAAAAATTGTAGAAATATCTATCTAAACTATTTTGAATAATTTTTGCTACTAACAATAGGTTATAAGTTACATAGATAAGTAGAAACACATCTTTGGCAAAAATGTCAAACTTTGACCGATCTTGTTGAAAAATTTGGTCACACTACTTTCTAATAGGACTAACATTGGTTTGGTCACTTGATATGAAATTCCCCATATACATATGTATATAATTAACTTATATAATATCGAGGGACTATATTCAATAGTCTCTATATGTCATTTTCATGAAAATAACATTTTGATGGCAAAATATCCAGCAAACTAACCCGCATCAAAGACAATAATTTCAAAGAAAAAAACTATTTTTTGGGAATTTTATAGCAATTTTTAAATTTCTCTATCTTAAAAAAAAAAAGAAAAATTCTGAATGCAAAACTCTCTGTCTTATCCAAAAATTGCTTCAAACTCTATTATTTTCTGTTGCAAAACGAGAGTTTTTACTAATTTGGACTTGCTGGACACTAATCCGCAAAAATATTTATAATCGGTTTAATAGTTTTCGAGATATCGCTCATTATGATACTAATTTGATTAATTTTATTGCCGTTTTTAACCATATAACATTGATTTTGGTCCAAAACCTTATAATCTGTTGCTTTTGCAACAATTTGGTTTCTATTACTTCATTATGTTGCAAAAATGTAATGCAAAATTTTAAATTATTTTTATATAACTATTTAGAATATGGTCGTAAAAATATATTGCAGAAGAAAAAATTCAAAAATCTTTACGAACTAGCGAAATAAACAGTTTTTTTGCTCTATTGTGTTATTTTAGATAGAGAATATAGTCCCTCGATAAACATAGCAATATTTCCATTTTAAGGGTCAATAACTTCATTTACCTTACATTCCAATTTAATTGCAATCCACAAATTAAAAATATTCATAGACAAGCTAAAAGGCAAACGAAAGATATACCAACAGTTCTTGCTTTACAAAAACAACACTTAAGTCCATTTTTTGACTGATTAAATTAAATTGGATGGCAGTTTATGACTGCACTTAACCAAAATATATACTTCATTATTAACCTTAAGTGCAATATTTCCCCCTAATAAATTAAAAATGTATATAAAGTGTTAAATCAAACAAAAAGAAATTGCACTTAAATATTGGTATAAAAAGACTGGTTCTAACATACATCAAATCATAGTATTACAAATATAAAAAATAGCATGAAGTTATTAATTGTACTCGCTTTGGCAGTAGCCACCGTTAGTGCGGGCAGTGTTGATTTTATTCCTCAACCTGGGTTCCCAGAGGGTCGCATCACTAATGGCCAACAAGCAGCGAAAGGAGAAGCTCCTTTCATTGTTTCTTTAAAAAGTGGTTCCCACTTCTGCGGTGGCAGTATTATTGACGAACACTGGGTATTGACAGCTGCTCATTGCTTGATTTATAACAATTTCCAAGTTGTTGCTGGTTTACATCAACGTAACGATGAATCTGACGTTCAAATTCGTCAAGTTTTGGGCAAGTCTTACCGCGGTGTTGGTCCCAATGATATTGGTCTCATATATATTGCTGAACCCTAAATGCTTTAGCTCGTGATGGCTCTGCTCCCGTTGGAAAGATTAACTTGCCTTCTGGCAAGTATGAACAAACTGGCAAGGGAAAATTATACGGTTGGGGTCGTGACAACTATGGTGTTTTGCCCAACACTTTGCAAACCTTAGATGCTGATATCATTGGTTATACTCAATGTAAATCTGCCTTGCCTAGCTCTGCTCCCATCGATCCCGTTAACATTTGTTCCTACACTGCTGGCACCACGGATGGCGCTTGTAACGGTGACTCTGGCGGTCCTTTGGTACGTTACACTGCTTCTGGTGCAGAAATTGTTGGTATTGTTTCATGGGGATATACTCCATGTGCCACAACAAAATACCCATCGGTATACACCATGACCTCGGCCTTCAACGATTGGATTCAAAATACTATTGATAATTTCAATGCTCATAATGTAGACATGTCTAACTAAGTATTTAAATATGAAAATTAAATAAATATGTGAAATGAACTATAGTTACACACTATTTCAAATTAAAATCCATATTTATGTATGTATATTCAAAGTTTTATATGTAAAACTAAATTTTAATAAAAAAAATTATTTTATAAGCCTTTGATAAAATAAAAATTTTGAATTGATAACTGCAGATATTGCTAGAATTTTAAAATCTTCAGTAATTTCTTGGAATTTTTTGAAGGTAATGAGCCAGATTTTTATATAATGAGAAAATTTTAACAATTGTCCAATTCACAATTGGCGTTGTATAGTTGTATGTCATATTTTGTCGAAACAAAAACATAACAATAAAAAATACGACATACAACGATATAAAACAAAAAAATCTTAGTGATATCATAACGTTTATTTTTTGTATTGTTTTAGAATTGGTGAGTCCACTTTCAGGCTAATTAAATTCAATCGGTCGTTAGTATATGACAGTACTTATAACTTAAATTGATAAGTGTAATATTTAAAATTAACAATAAGTATGTTCCCGTATTTCATAATATACAATTTAATGTAATTAAATCTAAAAAAAATCAGCACATGTCGTTCACAATTTATTTGATTTTTCTACACCCGCTGATCAAATAAAGAGGAAACTAATTTTATATAATTGATATTATATCAATTCAAATTTATATATTAATAATTGTTTTTATAATGGTAATGTTTTATAGTAAAGTATAGTCCGAACTGTTTTTTGTCATTTTCAAAAGATTGTAAAATTTATAGAATGTGAAGAAGTGATCCTGATTACCTCAAGATAATATATAATAATTGCTCTATTTTAAATAGTGCTGCCATATAATATCGAGTTTTCTCATATTTTTCAATGCTTTCAATAGTTGTATCCCTATTGGACACGTACTAACCTAGGTGTTTTACAGAGGTTTCCAATTGAATTGAAACTTAACATTATTAACATTATTTAAAACTTTAAAATGACTTCTGAATCTTGAGTTATATTCAGTTGAAAATATCGTTTAATGATTGAGTTATAGGCAAATAAACCTCATACGGCTGGAAATTACCTTTATTTGTTTTTATCATTTTAGAATCGATTTACATGAAATGTTGGAATTTCTGTGTGACTTTATGCATTTTTGTAAATAAATTAGAAAATTTCGAAATTTTCTAGAACGAAGTACATAGTTTTTTTGCATTTAATAACCAAATGTATTAATGTATATGAAAATCGAGATCCAAAGCCATAATAAAAACAGTTCGGACCATGCTTTAATACATCTTATATTTTACTCAGCTGTACATTTAATTAGTTGAATTAAATAAATAAATATAACCTGACGAGTACGGGAACATACATAATATACAGTGAAATAATTGACGTTTTGTTTTTATATTTTTAATAAGAAAAGTTTTCTATTTGTATATTTCTTTAGTAAATAGTGCACTGCGCAGCACTGTTTAAATAGTGTAAGTGTTAAAATAAACAAAAGTGTTACTATAAAAACACTTGCTTAACTGATCAAAATTGCAGTGTAACAATTTTAGTAAACGACATGAAATTATTAATCGTTCTTACTTTAGCAGTAGCCTTCGTTAGCTCTGCTAATTCTAAGATTGTCCCAAAAATCCGCATTGTTAACGGCAACATAGCCCCAAAAGCAGCAGCTCCATATATGGTTTCTCTAAAAAAGGTTCTCATTTCTGCGGTGGTAGCATTATTGACGAACACTGGGTCCTGACAGCTGCTCATTGCATGACCTTCGCAAATTTTGAAGTTGTCGCTGGTTTATATAATCGCAATGACGAATCTAATGCCCAAATACGCCAAGTTCCTAACACAGACGTTCAGATTATTCATGAAAAATATGTTGGTGAAGTTCAACCTTACGATATTGCTCTGATATATATAGCCGAACCTTTCGTTCTAAATAAGCGGGTTGCTAAAATTAACTTGCCATCTGGCAAATGTGGACAAACTGACAAGGCAACATTATACGGTTGGGGTCGTAACAGCAGTGGTATCAATCCCAACACTTTGGAAACTTTGGATGTTGATATCGTTAGTTACGAAGTATGTAAAGAAGCTTTCCCTACAAATCTGGGCGCACAGGTTGATCCCGTCAGTAATATTTGCTCTTTCACCCCTAATAAAACCGATGGTTCGTGCAATGGTGACTCTGGTGGCCCACTAGTCCGTAAAACTTCTGATGGTGTTGAACTTATTGGGCTTGTATCATGGGGTTACATCCCATGTACTACCACTTATCCCTCTGTGTATACTAAGGTTTCTACATACATAGATTGGATCCAGGAGGTTATTGCCAGTTTTAATTAGAGTTCATAAGAAACATCTTTGTAAAGTAATAATACACTTAACAATAAATAAACATCTTTGTTAAGTAATAATATTCTTAACAATAAATTTATATAAAGGATATGCGGATAAATTATTTTCTTTATATGATTAAATTTGTACTTACATCGTCCCATTTGATAAATTTTTCGCCATCCTGCATAGCTTGGGAAACCTCTATGGGTCCCGAGGATACATAAGTGCCAGAGGATAACATTGTGTATTTTTAAAAATGTATTCCAATCTTTTGCAATTCTTGTAATCGCTAATTTATAAAATAAAAATAGTTTTTTATTGATTTTTTTTTTTTTTGCTGTTGACGTAGTTTTACTTTTGGAATATTTTCTAGTTAAGAAAACTACATTACGAAACTATTTTACTGCTGTGTTGCACATCATCACAGTTTCCATCTCATTACGGCCGGAAAGAACAAAGTGTTGCCCCGAATATGAATGAAACCAAAACGCGTGTTTATTGCAAAACAATTGAAATGCATTAATCGTTTTGCCTTTTTATGTCTTTAAGTTTCTCTTGTAGTGATGATGTTGTAGATAGATACTTTTTACTTTTGTCTATTTTTCTAGTTGTTACTTTTGTTGTCGTCGGCGTTTCCTTGGAATACGAAATTTTCATGGAAGCTGTAAAGATAACGAAAATAAATAGAAACAAATTAGCATTTTCTGTGAATATTATTTCTGTTGTTCTTTTTATAGTCAAAATAACATAGACTTTTAAAAATTCTGGAAATTTTTTGAATACGAAAAAGTTTAAATTGAAAGGAAAACAAAGTGCCCGTACACAAAAGTACAAAAGATGTAAAGATGTTGTTGTTCGCGTTGAATTTTAATTAATTTTTAAGTGTTTTCAATAATATTGACAGCATCTCATAAGTTACAATTTCCGGTCGTGTTGGTATTGAGGAATATAATTATCAAAAGTAAAATTTTTGCCCGATTAAAGAGATAAGACAATTTTGATTGTGTGCTAGTGGGAAATAAATCTCCATGGACGGCTATGAAATCTTTTACAACATAAGAAAATACCACAAAAAAAATAGTTTTGTATTATGAACGATGTCTTTATGTCTATAAAAATATTCACTCGCAGTGTTTGAGTGCTTTTAAAGAAAAATGAAAAGATCCTCGTACTAAAATGCCCAAAATATATACTTGGTCACAATGAAAAATTACTTCACCTGCTTCACTTTCGACTGCCAGAACAAGCTGGCAGCCAACATTACTTAAATGATAATGGAAAAATTGAAAATGAACCAAAAAAGAAAATAAAATTAATCATAAAAAATATAAAAGTAAAATACATCCGAGGAGAATATCAAAATGTTTACATTGACGTAATGTAGTTGTTGGTTTTGTGGCGTTCGTATGTGTATTATGAATTGTTTGGATGTATAAGTGAATGTATACAACAACAATTTCTTTAAATTGCTTTTCCGTGATTTTATTATGTTTTTATCCTTAATTTCGTAATAGTTTATATGAATATACTTTTTTGTTTTTTCTTATATATTGTTGTGTTTGTGATGATGTTGTTGGTGCTATTATTTTTTATATTCATACTTAGAAATAAATGTACATTTACTAAGGGAGTCCTGGAAAGAAAAAATATCCGTAAATACTTATAGTTGCAAATACACATATACGCGATTGCATGTTACCCACACTAATATGTGTAAGTCGCAAGAGGCATATTCAAGGATAATTTATTTAAAATCAAATGTTAGTTTGTTTGTTTGAAATATGTTTATATTTTGTTTAAGTACATATGCTTAGTTTTTTGGTCATCCTTAATGTAATATATTATTGTTGCTGCCTTCCCACAACAATTTCCGGTAAGAAAAATAATAATAAAAACAAGATTCTTAGACATGACAAACTAATGGTTTTGTTTATACATTCTTGCAATGGCAGCTTTAAATACATATAAAGAAAAAATAACTTTAGAAATGTTTAAATTCTTAAATATTTCATACAATTGTTAGTGAAACGGAGAAAATTAAAAAAAAAATAAATAAAATTTGAACTATTTTCCTGCAAAATAAAATCAATCGAAATGCACATTGATAAATAACATAAATATGTCTGTATAAATTAATAATTATAATTTGTGTAAAATTTACATACATACAAATGTATGTATATATTGAAATTTTTCCAAGTGTACTAAAAAGGAAATTGTAATGATGTCAAAAATGTGAAGGTGCTGTCGTTCGTCTGTGTCGGATTTTCCTTTCTAGTTTTCTCCCTTTTCAATTTTTTTTTTAGAAAGGTGCCACTGTTTGGAGGTTAGAAAACATTTATTTGTTTTTCATTTTATATTTTCTCCTCTTAAGTAAATATACATACATACGAACATGCACATAAAATCACCACAATATGATTTTCATAATAAAACAGTTTTTTGAATATAATACTATTTACATTTTCTAAAAAATCATGGTATAATGACACCAAAATAAACGTACACTGAATATAATTTGACATAAAAAATATTAAAAAGCATTTTTGTGTTAAGATATTAACAAAATATTACATGAGTTGTAAATAAAAAATACAAACATATGTATTTATGTATCTGAATCTAAAATATCGAAAAGAAACAAGTCGTTTTAAAGGACAAAGTTAGTTTAATTTTTAATGAAAATGTTGATTTTCAATGTATTTTTGCTTTCTGTTTGCTTATTCCGGTCTTTTGTCGAAATATTAATATTAGATTTCACAATGATTTAGATATGACACATAACATGTTTACGTTCTTGCATTTTAAGCGATTTATTCTGCTTTAAAGATATGTATTATCAAAAATAAATATCATAAATATACTTTTTATGATTATTAGTCTTGATTTAAAAAGAAATCATTTCTGTATCGATATCGTAAAGTAACGATAAATATCGGTTGCATTAACGAATTTTCAATTCTGTAACTTTTTAACGACATTAGAATATTTTAACGACAAAGATCGAAAAAATTCTCAAAAGTTTTGTATCGAAATATTTTTAAAATATAAAATTATTAACGTGAACTTTTTATTTGTCGTGACATTGCCGATATTTTCGCTAACAAATGATTATGTTTAAGGGAAGAAAATCGGTGAAATAAAATTCAGAATACCACATAACGGCAATTATTGTTAACTTACAAATTTTTACTATTAACGACAAAATTTTGTAGTTAAAAAGTTACTGAATTGTGGTACTGATTTATTTAAGCACAATCCAGGAAATCACAAAATAAAAAATTGGTTTAAAATAAATAACACAGTGTAACAGAATAAACTAAAATAGAAATATCTGAGAAGAGATACTATTTTTCTGTTATCCAGTACATATGGTTAAAACCAGAACACTTTATAACTCAATGAAACTGACTTATATCCACAAGTATTTCCTTGTTTGGAAAATAAAATGAGATAATTAGCACAAATTTAAATTTATGATACTTTGGTTCATATGATTCGCGAATTCGATGTTTAATATGTTCTTCAAAGTTACGAGCAGTGAATGTTAAAAAATTGCTTGTGACAAACCGCAACTACTTCCTTCTTTGAAGTACTGTAGCCGCTAATCTCAATATTTTGATAAAGTTTCTTCTACAATTTCTTTAGATCTTTAAAGAAATGGACTGAGTGTGGCCCACTAAAATGTTAGTTTTATAAACTTAGTGCAAAATAAATTTTTCTTTTAACAAAAGATTGACCTGTCAATAAAAAATGTTTTGGTGTACATACTATAAAATGCCCAGATAACGTTTCACCTCTCTAATTCATTAAAAACAAAGCAAATTAAATCGTTATTCCACTGTTAATCTGTTAAACATTTCAATGTGAGTAAATTAAATGGGATGTACAGCTCTGTTACAATCGCTTTCTCCATCTACTTGTAAAATCTTGCAAAAGATACATTTTGTCACATTATATTTGGTAATAAAAAAAATTCGAAATACTTAAAAACAAAGCAAATTAAATCGTTATTCCACTGTTAATCTGTTAAACATTTCAATGTGAGTAAATTAAATGGGATGTACAGCTCTGTTACAATCGCTTTCTCCATCTACTTGTAAAATCTTGCAAAAGATACATTTTGTCACATTATATTTGGTAATAAAAAAAATTCGAAATACTTTTTTCGAATTTAAAAAGTAATACGAAAAAATGTGATAACATTTTAAATTGTTTTTACAAAAGAACATTCCACCATAAAAAGCGTGTTTTGATAACACAATTTTGTTAAATTTATGTCCATTCATGCGTAAAGAAAATTTGCTCTATTTCCTTAAAATTAATGACACATTTATCATTAAATGAAATTTTTATAAATTAAAAGGTACAAATTAGATAAAATTATTATGCTAAAGGTATTTAAATGTACCTAACATGTAGTGTAATGGATGTAAAGTTGAAGTATACAGCCATGAAAATAATTTCGCAAATTTTTTCGTCGTTTAGGTGGATTTTTGCAAATTTTATATTATTAAATAAATGTTAGAAACGAAAAAAAAAATACATTTTCAAATGAAGGCTGTGACGAATCTTATATACATTTCACTATGGTGTATTAATCAATATACCAGCTGTATAACGAAAAAGTACCAGAAATTCTTCTTTTATAGATTTTCATTCAATCAGGGCGCTGCGAAAAAGAACCAAAAAAATCAATGTTATAGATTTTCATTCCATCAGGATATATGTATGTATGTCTGATTATATGTATCTACGTTAATTATTGCATTAAAACCAAAAAGTACCAATTAAAGAACGAAAAAGTACCAAAAATCCTTTCCCACAGATTATCATTTACCGAACATTCAGAGTCCGAACTCTGAATGTTCAATTTTATGTTTGTATTCAATATTATAGAAAATTCAAAAAGTATCTTTTGTAGAAGGAATATGTACTAAAAAGTCCCATTTTATAGGTTCTCATTTACTCCGGGTTCTACATATAATATATTCTACATTAATCAGAAACAGAAACATATATTATCATTTATTTCCTGAAAATGTTCAATAAGTTTTCATTCAACTCCTGCATATTATTTAAAAATGTTAAATGCGTCTTTTCCTAATAATGGTGGTGTAAATAGATACATACATATGTATAGTTGCTACTGTATTAAATATTTGTCCGATGATAAAATGAACGAAATTAATAGCGACAAAGCAAGAGCAGGAAAGGAATAGACTTTTTATTTTTAATTTGCAATTTTTCCAGTTTTGTACCACATTATTGTTGTCGGTTGTTTGTCACAGCTTCTATTGATTCTGTTGTGTAAAAAATAACAACTCTCTCATTTATAAATAACTACACACATACAGAGGAGCATTCACTCACCCATTGCCATAAACAAACACACTTCATTGATTTATTGATTATTATGATAATATAAATACTTCGGTTTAGAATTTGTGTTTAACACAATACAAACTTAAGATTATGTTTTTGAATATTTTTTCTATTGTCTTTTTATTCTTTCTTTTCATTTCTTGACGCTGGATATGCTAATAAGGATGTCTGTAGCTGGGGTGTGTGTAAGAGTGTGTAAATTTGTGTTTACAAGTCATTGCTTTTTTTTTGTAACACTAGGTTTATTGTTGTTGTGTTTTCAGTGTTTAGTTAGCTGTCAAAAAATATGCAAAATAATATACATATATGTATGTATGTATGAATGTATGCAGCTATTTTAGTTGTTCACGCAATTCATATTAATGAATATGCAAAATAGCCTACAAGTCGTTGTTGTTTGTCTTGCTTTTGTCGTCTTCTTAGTCTCTTTTTTATCTAAAAACCACATTCTCTTTAGTTTAGTGACGATGAAATTGCTATTTTCTAGGCGCACACATTCACGTCAATACTAAGGTTTATTTAATAAGGGTTTCTGAATATTAAATAACTTCATTTAAAAATTAATCCCAATACAAATAGAAACGTTTCCAAAGTAAAACTTACGACTAATAATATAATTTCTATTTGGATTTTAAGCGTTCAATTGATTGAACGTGTTGTTATTCAAAAATGCATATTATAATGTTAAAAAGTTGTAATTTTCATAGTAATCATACCAAATTTTAATTATGTGAGATCATTTTATTGCTCATATTTAATAGCACCTGAAAATATACATATAAAAAAAATTCAAAGTTAGTAAAAAATTTAACATATTTTAATAATGTATCTGTAAACTGCCCCCTGCATATTCTCATTTATGAGAAACCCTAAATTTTGTAACTAATAGACAACGACAACCAGTAGTAGGGTCTGTAGTAGAAATATAATTTTATTTATAAGTATATGTACATTAGGGTATAAATTTTATAAAATTTTTAAAAATTTTTAAATCGGCCCTACCCATTCCACACAGAGTATAAAAAAGTATGTCGTATCGCTTTTCACTTTTTCCCTAAAGTTTTCGAGATTTTCTCACCAAAATTTTAATTTTTTTAATAAAAAATTGGAAATTTTTGACATAAACAAGTGTCACGGTTTGACCCACGAAATTTACTGCGTAGGAAAGCAAGGATAAGAGCTGCGTTAAATAACTTTTCCAATTTTAGTACACAAAAAACATGCTTGTTGGTGAATGGTTTTAGAAACTCGATTTGCCGCGGAAGGTTTTTCAGCAAAACGTCCCGAGAAAAAGGTTTTCGTTATTAGAACACTAATGGCTACCACGCGGTGATAGGGCCTAATGTTGGTTATAACACTAATAAACATACGAATGTGTGTCTGTAATGGAAACAGTAAATGAAATAAGTAAGCGTGTTAGTTAGTTAGTAACTTAATTTTAGTAGGTCCTTATGATTGTTCTTTTGATAATGTTTTTGTTATTGTGGAGTGTATAAATTATGTTTACTTTTTGTTCTTTTTGCACGTTTTTTAAAACATTTTTTATTTAATGACGCTTCTTATTTCTGGTTTTTACGCAAAATAACAACACAGTCAAAAAAAAATGTCACAGATTACCATACGACTACCGCTTGAGATATTTTCTACCCAGCCTTTTTCTGTCAAAATTGATTTAACATTATTCAAACAAACGTGGGTCATTTTTAACATTTTCACAATTATTCAAGAGAAAATATTATAATTAAGTTCAGTTTTTTTTTTTTCAAATTTGTGTAGCTACACATAAAATTTGAATAAATGACTTGTGAGTGGTCATTTTCAATTGGTATGAGATCGTTATCCTTTTCGCTGTTTAGATTTATGTGTATAACAAAGAATAAATGGTTACATTTCTTATTTGACTTTGAAGGTCGAAAATAAGTTTTTTTATTCATTCCTAAAATCATTTTGTTTGGAATATTTAATAATGGTGATTAAACCACAAGATTGCTAGAAAGAAAGCACTGTAATGTGAATGAAAATCAACAAACTACCTTGGTGGATATTTTCGTAAAGTACTTTAGAGTATAATTTTTTAATAATAGGTTAAAAGTAAGACTAAACTGAAATAATTTGTTTAAACAATTTAATTAATGTTATAAGTATCCTTATTGAATTTATGATGTAAAGCAGACTTGTTCATAATACATGTCTTGGGTTTTCAAGAGTTCGATTTATAAAACTGTTAACATTTTTATAATTATGTATAAGATTCAAAATGATTAAAAGTAAGAAATACTGCTAACGTGTTTGTGTCCAAAACCATAAAAAATTTTAATGAAAACTTTTAGCAGCGGCTTTTGTTTTTTCAATACGAAAATCAACTTCAATTAAATGACATTGAAATTTAACTCTCTGCACAATTCACAATCAAATAATTAAAAAAATAATTGCATACTTTTAGGATATCATTAAATATATGAACTCGAGCATTTACGTATGGACATTAGGGTATAGCAAAAATTAGGCCCTATCATTAGAGGTAGCTAATAGAGTTCTAACAACGAAAATCTTTTTCAATACACTTTTAAAAGTAATAAAATATTAACAATATATATTTTTTTAATATACATTGTCTGTGTTAAAAACATTTTTATTAAATTTAAAAAATTTTTTATATGTGATATTTACCTAATAACTTATTTAGTAAAATCTTTCAATAATAAAAAATACAAATGATCAAATGCTTTAACACAGAGAGAGAGGCAAGGCATTCAGACATTTTAACAGAAACACACAAACATATACGGTACGTATGATGAATATTTTAACTACCGCATTATTAATAATTACACATACGCAGTGTGAAACCATACGTATGACACATTTTACTTAAATTCATACATTCATAAATACACAAACATCATACATTATTCATACTGGTTACATATTTTAATTTTAATACAAGCACGAATATTGTCTTTACTCATACATTTGAATCAATATTTATGTACATTAGGGAGTATATTTTTCAACATTTCGATTGAATACGAGTGGAATTTGAGTTTGAAATGTTTTATATTTAAATTTTATGGAATAAATTAAAGCATTTATAATCTACAAGTGCATTTATAATCTACAAGTGAAAATGACCAGGGAAGGCTTTTGCTTTAAAACGGTCCAAATAAACAGATTTCTTTACCTGTGTCTTCTACCCTAATATGTTTGTATACATAAATGGATATGTGTATATGTTAATTTTAAATTTCAGAAAATTTCAAAGAATTCATTAATATATTATAGAAGCATTACCAACGATAAGTATTTTAAAAGACTAAAAATTCATGCTTCAATAAAATTTCATTAAATGCTAATAGTGACGGGCAAGTACATAATCAATTATATGCATACACATTGTATTTTTACTAATAAATATTAAGTGGTTTTTAACAAATTTTAATAGATAAAAGCCATTAAAATTATAATGAAATATTTTTAATTGAAAGAAGGAAACTTTTATAACACATTGTGGTTTTAACAGAAATCATATTATTATTAATTTTGGAAACATAAACATCAAAAATTAAGTATTGGGTTATATAAAATTACTCCCTTTTGTATAGACATTTTCCACTATATAAAGATACGGATAATAATAAAAAAGAGGTAAAAAGTTCTGTAATAGTCGAGTTAAGCTGGCAAGGCCAGCTGTCCAAAAATGGGATACCTCGGGTTTTTAAAACAATCCTATTTCATCGTTTGTGTTCCGATTTCAAAATCCTTCCCACACGGGCAACATAGAAATCCATGTGAACAATTTGGGGAAAAATTACCGGACTAGCAATAGGGACATGGTACCTTCCATATGAATTAAATACAAACATTTTTACATCTGGGAAACTATTGGAGCTGGAATACTCAATATCCTGTAAACATTTTCGTAATAAATTGGGGGATTACCAATAGACGGCATGCCACCTCCCATATGAATTAAATACAAAAATACGTATATCTGAGAAACCATTAGATATAGAAATCTCAAATTTCTATATCTGAAATCTGTATGAACATTTGCATCCCACTAAGTAACCACAAAGCTCTTAAAGGAAATTGTTTTTTGAAAAAATAGCGGAAAATTAAGTGCCAAATATTGAAAAAAACTTATTCTTGAGTTAAAATTTTTTTTTTTTTTTTGATAGATATCCCACTCGCATCCTATTATGGGACTATAAAGTTCTTAATGAAATTTTTATAAGTTTTCATCTGAGCCCCTCTAAGTTTGGCAGTTTTTGACCGATTTTTTGAGTTGGGTCACATGACACGAAATTGCCCATATATAGTTTCTTAGTTTTAATGGAGGATGTATATACACCAAATCCGAAGAAATACACCTAGGCCTCTTTCGGGCCTGTTATGCGCTCCTTTACCAGTGCCTCAAGAAGAAATCGAACCCACCTATTCTGATTTACCATACTAGAACACTAACCACTTCAAGTAAAAAATCGGAAAAATGATGCACTACAGCTCGAAAGGAACTAATGACAATCAAAAATAGTCTTCAACAAATATGTAGGAAATTTAATTGTCAACAGGAAAGTGGTAACTTTTAGCCCCTTAATTGAGACCCCAAGACGAAGCCCTGTGCCAACATTCATTAAGCTATCTAAAATTCCGCAGTTTTAATTTTTTCGACTAATTTTCCCAAGCTTTATGGTGAAAGGTTATATACCACAATACATAATAATATGAAAATTATAAAAAACTCTATCATGGCATTAAAATTCATTCATTAAGCCCGCAATAATTATTTTATTATTTATTATTACAATTGTTGGTTGAATTAAATGCCAACAAAATGTTTACAATAAATTCACTTTTTGTGGTTGAATTCAAAAGCGACATTATTATTTCAACTCCAGCAAAACCAATAAAAAGTATAAAACAATATTTTTTTGTTGTCGTTATTATTTGTGTTTTTATAGTTTGTTGTTAAGTGTTGTGGTAAATTTTTTTGTTAATTTAAGGTATATCACTCGATTAGGCTTATCATATAAATTATGTATGAATGAGTCTATTGTATTTTTGTTTTGTCTTTATAGTTTATTTATAATGCGTTATCACCATCATATGCCACATCCAGATATTCGTATACCGAAAGCATTCACGCAATAGATACAAGAAAAACGTACAAAGTATTTTGGAATTAAAAACAACTAATTTAATAATCGCTTTAAGGTATTAATTAAATATATAAAAATGTATTTTAAAGTTACATATTGATTTAAAAGAATTAATTTGGTAATTGAAATTAATACATTATTTTTAGAATCATATAACGAAAGATTGACCAAGACAAAATATGACATGTGTGACCGACCGATATGATACCCTACACCTGTAAGTATTTTAAAAATGTGGTTTATTTTTTAATATTAGTTATATGGTGGCAAGGGTAAGTATAGTCCTATCTTTATAAATTTTGGTAGATGAATTTATGCTTACTTTAAAGTTATTATGCAGAATTTCATAGTGTTAACTAGACATATATAAAAGATTCTAAAACATTTAACATAATTATTAGCTCAAAAGCGGTATTCAGAGGTACGATTGTATGGAACTTGGTCCTCGGCCAAGAGAAAAGTATGTGATGCAACGGTCGGACAGATGGACATAGCTTAATCGACTCAGAATCCGATTCTGAGGCGGTAGGTATATTTTAAGGTGTATGTGTGATCAATATTTTTGGGTGTTACTAATGGTGTAGGGTATAAAACAGACCTTAAAA